CGACCAGACGAATCTTTGTCCTTTTCTTAATAGTTTGTGCAGTGGGTCCAGTATTATGGAATTATGTGGCACGTATTCATTGTAAAATTAATTTTTCCTAAGAACTGGCGAATGTGTTTTGTGATTGTGGCAAGGAAAATTTTGTATTGATATTAGATTATCTTTTATTGGAGAGGACTGAGTTATTTTTTATCTTGTGACCTAAGTACTTGACTGAATTTGATGCGAAAGTGCATTTAGAAAATTTCAATCTAAAGCCCTCCTTCATTATTGCGTCTAGCAATTGTGTTAAATGGTCAATATGTTCATCGAATGATTTTGAGAAAATCAAGATATCGTCTATGTAGTTTACTGTAAAGTTTGAGAGATTGTGTTTTCTCATTATGTTGTTCAGGATTCTTTGAAAAATAGCTGGCGACGTCTTTAGGCCAAATGGCAAGCAGGTCCACTGAAAGTGTCCTTCTTGGGTTATAAATCCTGTTTTTCTTCTATCTTCCACCCGTAGTGGGATTGACCAGAATGCCGAGTTTATGTCGAGTTTGGAAAAATATTTGCAGTTTCTTGTTTTGTCACTAGGTCCTCAATCAATGGGAATGGTTGTGATTGAGGGATAATTATTTTGTTCAGATCTCTAAAGTCGATGCATAATCTTGATCTTCTATCTTCGTCCTTTTTATATGCTAGCGTCACTGGGGCAGCAAAAGGACTGTATGATTCTTCTATCAAGTTTCTTTTAACAGCTCCGCAATTTGTTGTTCTATTTCTTTCTTATCTTTGATTGTACATCTATATGGTCTCTTGCTGCAATACTTATCTATCATTAAATCTATTCTTGCTTCATAATCTTTTACTGTGCCAATGTCGTATTTGTCCTTGGCAAATAATGTTTTGTATTTTCTATAAGATTTTCTATTTTAATTTTTCGTAGTGATCTAGGTGGTTTATTGAGATTTGTAAATTATATGTATCTACATGTTCATTAAAGTTTATTTGTTGTAGCTTGTCATTTTGAAATTTACAAGCTTCTTTATGGTTTCTATCCTCTTTCTTTGGATTTTTGTTTGTGGTATTAAGAGCATTTGTATTTCTTTTGTCTGTTATGTCAGGAAATTTTGTTCTATTTTTAAATTCTCATTCTGTATTAATCCAAATTTTTTTATACAATCCAGTCCGATTAGAAATTCATAATTGAAATTTTTGTTATTTATTACAAAAACGTCTATTTTCTTTTTCTATATTAAGAATTTTTGCTTTTATTGTTATCATGCCTTCGGTTTGGTTCACACCATTGATCGTTCTTAAGTTTACTTTTCTTATATTGTTATTTTTATCTTTTCTTAGATTCAGTATTCTAGAGTTTATTAATGAAACATTCGAGCCTGAATCATATATCCCAGTTGCTTCCAATGTCTCATTTAGTAATATCTTGAGTTCGATCAATGGTGGAATTATTAGTTTTTTTGCTCATTGCAATTTAGTTCCATTTCTAGGACGGCGTTATTGACATTTTTTATTTTGTTTTCTTTATCTTTGAACCAACATGCTGATTCCGGGTGATAACGTGTGCCTTTGTTATTGTCTTTACAAATTTTACATGGTGTTTTTTTCTTTTATGTTATCAGTCTTGTTCTTCTTGATTTCAAATCTGTTTTTATTAACCAGGTGTTCCAGTTTGCCTAGTTCGTTGTAAAGGTCTTCAGTTTCGTTCAGAGTTTCTCTGTCAATCCTATCAGATATAAAGTTTGGTAGACCGGCTGCGATGAGATCTATCAAAGTTCCTGTGTCTATTGATTTTCTTACTTCTAATAATAATTTTTCTTTTTTTATGGCATAATCCAACAGAGGACCTGATTGGAATTTGAATGAGAGTGCATATCTTATTGGGATCCACCCTTTGTTTGCAAATGTTTCACAAAAGTTTTTTTTCCATTCTTTCCATTCTGATTGTACTGTAAATTTTATCAGCATGCAGCTGTACCAATCTACACACGCTTTTTCTAGAAAAAATTTTAAAGTTTCGATCTTCTTTCTATCTTCATTTATCTCAAAACGTTCGCACTCTCTTTCAAATTCATTTATCCATTGGTGGGCATTGGAGGTTTTTCCAGTGAATTTTTCAAGCATAAAATCCTGTGCTATTTTTCCTAGATTTTTTATTTCGGATTTTTGTTGTTTCTCTTCCATTAATTTCTCCAATATTTTTCTCATTATTTCCTCTGAAGAACTAGGTTCAGATGCCGTAGTAGTTTTTTTCTCTGTGATTTCTTCTAAATAATAATCGCCAAATTGTAAGTTTCTTCTTCATCCAAATACACTTTAGTTAAGGTTTCTGATAAACCAATCCATACTTTTCTTGATTGGTGTCTTTTTTTAATGAATTCTTCACTTTAGCAAATATTTGTGTTTTTGTCAGCTCTGTGTGTAAATGTGCTGGCTGATATTCCTCTGGGAAGCCGAAAGAACGATCATCGGGTGTTCCTATTGAGGTTAAGCACAATATGTTCGATTTTCCGTCTGTTGATCCTCTTACCATAAAGTCAAATCTTAACTTCTCCATTTTGTATAATTTTCAACAAGAATGTTGTTTTATAATGCGTCTATAACTCTCTTATTCGGGAATAGTCAAAATAAGATATCGAATAGTGTACACGCCCCTCGAATCAACGTGCTGCGAATCAAACCTTAATTAATATAGTTTATATCCGGTTACGGCCACTGTCTCGGAGAGTCCGCGCATTAAGTCGATGTGTAGGAATAAAAAACACAAAACTGCTCCGAATAACAATTAAATCCAAAGTCTTTAATAAAATGTTAATAACTTTGATAATACACGACTATGTTTGACGATCGTTAACGTTTCGTCAACGCTGAATGATAACACAAGAATCGCTGTGTTCGGATCGCTAGTCGAACGAGAACTGAGGGCCTGCTCTCTGCGAGAGTCAGGCACGAAAAACGCCGGAATTTTCACATTCTTACAATATCACGCGTACAGGATCGGGTGATCACGTGTATAATCTGTATCGATACCGAAATCATAACGTGATTCTTGAATGGATATCGAACAAACAACTCGTGGTCAAACACAATCAGCCTACATGCCGAAAAATACAATTTGATTTCTGAACATACCGCCCGCCTCGTACAAACTACGAAACGGACTGATGAACAAATTCTAGTATGTTAAAATTTTAATAGAACGATAGCAGACGGAATGTTTGACAGATCTTTACAATGAGTAAGAGACAGTTACTCGTCTGTTCTAATAAGTGGGCAGATTTTAGTAATCGGGCGCTTAAGCGTTGAAGACGCGGTGCGAACGGTCACGACGCGCGTGTGACCATCTGGGCCAGGGTGTGTCTCGATGACTCTGGCCATGTCCCATTTAGCGGGGGGAAGCAGAGGGTTTTTTATTATTACGAGGTCGTTAATTTTAATCGGTGGTTCTACCGTTCGCCATTTCTGCCTCTGATGAAGCGTGTGCAAGTAATCAGAAGACCATGCTTTCCAAAATTGTTCGTGCATGGCCTGCACCCTTTGCCATCTTGACAAACGATTCTCATTAATTTCTAAGACAGACTCTCCCGGTGCACTCAAAAGGGGGCGACCTATCAGGAAGTGCCCCGGTGTGAGCGCCTCGAAGGAGTCCGGATCGCTTGTCAATGCGGCGAGAGGACGGGAGTTAAGGCAGGCTTCGATTTGGCACAAAAGAGTCGCGAATTCCAACTGCGACAGAGTATGACCTCCGATAACGCGCTTTAAATGATATTTAAAACTCTTTACTCCCGCCTCCCAGAGTCCCCCGAAATGTGGAGACGCCGCGGGTATAAAGTGCCACTGTACACCGTCAGTGACAAGGTGATCGTGGACGGCGCGATCTTTACATGTTTTTATAAATGCGAGTCGCAACTCACGGTCGGCCCCTACAAAATTCGTACCATTGTCGCTATAGACATCGGATGGAAGTCCACGTCGACTAACGAATCTTCGAAAGGCCGCAAGAAAGCCCTCCGATGAGTAATCAGAGACATACTCTAAATGAATCGCACGAGTTGCGAGACATACGAAAATGCAGACGTAATATTTCCGCGAGGTCTGACCGCGACCGACATACGGTATGATTTGTAAGGGGCCGGCATAATCTATTCCGCAGTGGGAAAAGGTGGGCGATGGCGTCACTCGCGGTGACGGTAGATCGCCCATGAGCTGACTTGCGGTCCTCGCGCTTTCGCGTATGCATGTCATACATTTTCTTATTCGGAATTTGACAAGAGATCTCGCACCAAGAATCCAGAAATTTTGACGTAATACGCGTAGAGTAAGTTGCGGACCTCCGTGCGAGGATCGCAAGTGAGCTTGATCGACAATTAATTCGGTAATGCGGTGACGCGGAAGGATCACCGGAAATCTCTCATCGTATGAGAGTAAGGAGTGGCGGAGTCTCCCGCCAAGCCGAATAATGCCGTTTTCGTCAAGAAACGGCGTTAGCGAACGCAGAGGACTCGATTTGCTTAGCGGAGAATTCCCACGCAACGCGATGAGTTCGGCATTGAAGCTTAGGGCTTGTAATCGTTGGATCCAGAAGATCCGCGCTCTCTTGACATCAAGGCTCGTCAATACCCCGGCCGCCATTTCGCTCGCTTTGTTGCTGGTTTTATGCGTTCTAAAGAGACGAAACACGTGACCTGTGACGCGAAGCAATTTTCCCCACGACGTAAAATTTTCGTGGATATTGAATATATCCGCTGCCGGAGCGGACTTTGAATTATCTACGGTAGCGACGCGAACTTCGGCATTCACGTTTGACTCTATTTCGTCCGATAATTTGTCCTGCAATTTTTTTCTCTCTGGCCAAGAGACGGGAGGATCTTTTAGCCAGGCCGGGCCTGACCACCACAGCGGGTGGACGCGAAACTCCTCTACCGAAATACCGCGCGAAGCACAATCCGCGGGGTTGCTGATTGTCGGCACGTGATGCCACTTCGCTGTCGGTAATTTCGTCTGAATCTCGGAGACTCGCGTAGCGACGAACGTTCGCCATTTTGAGGGGTGTTGACTGACCCACGCTAGTGCGACGGTGGAATCTGTCCAGCCGTAAATCGGTATATCCGGATTCTCGAGCACGCCTAAAACGTGATTTATTAAACGTGCTAGGAGTACGATAGCCATAAGTTCCAGGCGGGGAATGGCAATCGTTTTTAAGGGCGCCACTTTTGATTTGGCAGCGAGCAGCGAAACCGAAATTCGATTAGGCGAGTGGCGAACCCGTAAATAGACGACAGCAGCGTAGGCACGCTGTGACGCGTCGGCGAATCCGTGAATCTCCACCGCGTGATCGGGATCGTAGGTATTAAGCCAACGTGGCATACGGCAATTAGAAAGCTTAGGAAGACTGCTAACGTAATCTTGCCATCTTTGCAGAAGTGACGCGGGAATAATCTCATCCCAATCGATTTTTTGAAGCCACAGATCCTGCATCAGTATTTTCGCTACAATTACGACGGGCGACGCCCAACCTAAGGGTCGAATAGCCGCGCGATAAATGATAGGACGGTCCGCTTCGTGGTTCGCGATTCCGTGAATTCTGTGGTTCGAAAAAAGAATACATCGTCGGTCGGGCGCCAAGCGACGCCAAGGACCTTTAGACTTGTATTTTCTTCAAATGCGTGATCGCATGATAACTCGTGATCGCCGGATGGAATAATTGACAAGAGTTGTGGATCGTTAGCCGCCCATTTTCTCAAGTGAAATCCGCCGGAATGCATCAAATCGTTAAGCTGAGCGCGCAATTGTATAGCGGACGCGATGTCATTCGCACCAAATAAGAGATCGTCCACGTAGGCCGAATTTTTAAGGATTTTTGCAGCTTGCGGAAAGCGACGAGACTCATCGTCGGCAAGCTGATGTCGAACACGGATCGCGAGATACGGTGCGCTAGCCGTGCCGTATGTAACCGTGAGGAGACGGTACGATAGGACCGGACTTTGCGGATTCGGTCTCCAGACGATTCTCTGGTAATCTACATCGTCGGGATGTACTAGGATCTGACGGAACATTTTTTCAATGTCCGCCAGATAGACGTAACGATAGAAACGCCAATTCAGCAAAACTCCGCCGAGATCGTTTTGAAGCTTAGGCCCAACTAATAAGCAATCATTCAGAGTAAAGCCGTTGGACGTGACACTCGAAGCGTTAAATACAACGCGCACTTTGGTTGTCGAGCTGCTTTCCCGGATCACGGGATGGTGAGGGAGATAAACAGGCCGACGGCGCGAGGTGGAATCGCGAACCTGTTCCATGTGCCCTAAAACTTCGTATTCAGCGAGAAATTTATTGTATTCCGCAGCAAGGTCGCTATTGCGAAGTAATCGTCGTTCCGTTTTGGAATACAACCGTTGAGCGAGATTATAACTATCGCCCAGAACGGGAGGCTGATTATTTCGGAATGGCAATCGAATAATATAACGGCCGTCCGCATTCCGCGAATGGGTTTGACTAAAATGCGTTTCGCATAGCTCCTCTTCGGGAGAGTAAATGATTTTAGAGGGAATCTCCTCCGTTTCCCAAAATTTTTGAATGAGCTCGTCTAGAGATGGAGCGGCCACACAAGACATAACCGTCGCTTCCTGAAGCGATACTAAATCCAATGACTTTGCCGGGCCTGAAACTATCCAACCTAACGACGTTAACTGCGCCGTAGGGGAACCGGGAGGCCCCCTTTGGATTGGCCCGAGTAGCAATGAACCATAGAGGTCGGCTCCGATTAATACTTCAATATTTTCTTTATTTGACGGATCGGGATCCGCGAGTTCTAAGCCTTTCAGGTGAGGCCAATCGTCGACGGAAAACGCTTGAGTAGCTGCGTAAGCCGTGATCTTTTGATAAATGTATACTGAAATCGGCAGTCGTGATCCAGGACGGAGACACGATTCGAGTAGAAGACTCGTTTGTGCTCGCGCGATGCCAGAGTATTCTTCCCCGAAACCGGTAATGTGTAAATTCGCGCGACGTCGCGTCGGACGTAATCTCTGTGCGAGAGCTTCCGAAATAAAGCTATATGTCGAGCCTTGATCGAAGAGAGCGCGGGCCTGTACAGTTCGTCCTTCAACCGTGTGAAGTCGGACCCGAGCGGTAGCGAGAAGGACGGGAATCGGAGCTTGAGATCGCGCACCTAGAGATACGGTATAATTAGTCGCTACGTTGGTGGAGGCGTCATTAAATGCGCCTTGTGCTTCGCACGCTTTATTTGCCGCGGATTCGTGTCGCGATTTCGTACCTTCTCGATCCGTAGCGTCGGCGATTGCTACGCCGATGTTGTCGCGATGAAGTAATGAATGGTGAGCGCGTTGACAAGAGTTACAGCGCTTCTCACTTGGACAATTTAGCGGAAAATGCCCGGGTCTTAAACAATTGAAGCAGACGCGAGCTTGTCTAGCGAGCTGCCCGCGTTGGTCTAGCGACCGTTTTCGGAAAGTCTGACAAAATGACAGGAAATGATTCCCCTGACAGCAAGGACACTTACGGTCCGTAGTGTTATGAACCGTTGCCTTGATTTTATTCGATTTATCGGAACGCGCGGACAAGCCGGCGGTAGCGCAATTAGTTACAAGAGGCACAAGATCAGATAAGCCGCGAAGACGTTCCGTAATAAATTCGCGAAGTGTTTTAAATGTAGGGTAATCGGTTGACGCGCCTAAACGCAAGTTCCATTCGGTACGAGTACGCGAGCTGAACTTTTGAGTGACGATGTACACAAGCAAGTCGTCCCATTGATCGGTATCTCGGCCTAAATTTGATAATGCCGATAACGACGCGGTTACAGTATCGCGCAACAGCTTTAATTCGGCAGCGTTTTCGGTCTTCATTACAGTGAGACTCGCGAACGCGTGAATATGCGCATGGACTAGAGACCGTGCGTTGTTATACTCATCCAACAAAATCTGCCAAGCTCCAGCGTAGTTCAAGTCAGAAGTCGTGATGTGCTTCAACAGAAGCGCAGCATCCCCGTCCATGAACGACTTCAAATAGTGTAGCTTCTGCGCGTCCGAGAGAGTTTCGTGGGCGCCGACTAAAGCCTGGAAGGTGTCTCGGAAGCTCTCCCACTTGGTCATTTCGCCCTTGAAAACTGGAATGGTGATCCTTGGTAGCGCGAAGGCTGATGACCCGTGACCAGACGGGTGATGGACGCTGATAGAACTCTGATCAGCGTCAGATGGAGTACGTAGCTCCTGTTTGTCGAGTAGGCCTGCTAAGAAATCTTGCGAGTCCTCGAACACCGCTTCAGCTTTGCTAATTTCGTCGTCAGTGAAGTAATCATGTTGGAGATCGTCTTTGTCAGCGACCTGCAGGAGCTCGACGTGCTGCTTACAGCAAGTTTGCCAGTGCTCCCGTAATTGCTCCATGCGAAGCTTAGTCTTCGTAATCGTAAATTTCTCCTTGCCGGCCTTCTTATAATTCACTGCTATCCGAGACATAAATTGAACGGTCGCACGTATCGCGATGAGACCGTTCTCGAAATCCGACATGATTCACGGATATGAACGGTACTGATATTGTATTAATATCAAATCGACGCGTAGAATTCTTTCACTACGGATAGCCACTGACCAAAGCGGAAATTTGAGAAAAAAGTAAGGTCACTGCGAAACGTCGAAAACACGAGGGCCGGCTCTCGCTTTCGTTGGAGCGAGAGAGAGGGTAGGATTTGGCGCGAGACCGCTCGCCGTGTGAGACCGCCCGCCGTGCGAGAGAGAGAAAGCGAGAGAGATAGCGCGCGCACTTCCGGCGCGAAATTCCTCGTTGTATAGTTCAGTGCTGAATTAAACAACGGATCGTTTTTTCGTATCCCGATAACAGCGGGACGCGAGAATGAGCGGACACAGTTTATTCGGCGCAAATCCGGCTCGAAGGACCATTAATTCACATGTACACGCCCCTCGAATCAACGTGCTGCGAATCAAACCTTAATTAATATAGTTTATATCCGGTTACGGCCACTGTCTCGGAGAGTCCGCGCATTAAGTCGATGTGTAGGAATAAAAAACACAAAACTGCTCCGAATAACAATTAAATCCAAAGTCTTTAATAAAATGTTAATAACTTTGATAATACACGACTATGTTTGACGATCGTTAACGTTTCGTCAACGCTGAATGGTAACACAAGAATCGCTGTGTTCGGATCGCTAGTCGAACGAGAACTGAGGGCCTGCTCTCTGCGAGAGTCAGGCACGAAAATACGCCGGAATTTTCACATTCTTACAATATCACGCGTACAGGATCGGGTGATCACGTGTATAATCTGTATCGATACCGAAATCATAACGTGATTCTTGAATGGATATCGAACAAACAACTCGTGGTCAAACACAATCAGCCTACATGCCGAAAAATACAATTTGATTTCTGAACAAATAGTTTCTCTGAAAACAAAGTTTGTAAATTTTTTTATTAATTCAAACTCAAAAGACTATTTACAACCCTCACCTGAAAACAAAGAAACAACATTCAATGTTTCTTATTCACTGATTCTATTATAATAAAACTTTGTCAAATTAAATTTATTCACCGTATTTTCTCTCCACGTGGGTTTCTCTTTCTAACCTCTATTAATTTTTCTTTGCACATCTAGATGCCCGTATTACCGACCGTTTTACCGGGAGATTTTAAATTAATCCGAGGAAATGTAATGGAATTTCCTTACATCTCCCCCCCTAAGAGAGAAAATATGTTTACAATATTTTTTTTTTTTTTTTTTTATGACGTGTACATGTCTTCTTCTGTGTAAGCGGACTCTGAGACTGGAAACAGTTTAGTGATATGAAATAAATTTGACTGTTTTCTTATGACCTGTGTCTACTTTATATATTGAGTGTGATATTTTTGTAAGATTTTGTATGGTCCTATTTTAACTCGTCTAATTTCTTTCTGTTTAAGCGGTTCCCGTTCTCGACATATACTGATTCCTACATTAAATTTGTAATCTCTTCGGTTTTTGTCAATTATCTTTTTATTATAAACGTGATATTTTATACTATTTTCTAAAGCAGTTTCCGTCTAGTTTAGATCTTGTTGACTTTCTTGTTTAATTTCGATGGTAACATTGACCGTGCTCTAGATATTTGAGGTTGAATTTTGATCTTTTGTTGTTTATTTGATTCTGGGTTATGACTTATTTTATTATTGTATTATAGTGTTGTGTGTTTTCTCATAGTATCTTTTTTTTCTGTTTATCTTTATCTATTTTTTACTTACATTTCTAAGTCTTATTCCATTGGGTGTGTTATTAATCTTTTATCTTTACTAATTTGTTGAATCTTTTATTTTTTCCAACGTTTGGTTCAATCTTTCATTCAGGCCATTGGAGAAAGGTGCGTTTAGCCGTAAATATAATTGGATATTTTTGTCGTCCAAAATTTCTTAAAAACCTTGGAGTTTATTCCCGGATATTGATCCGTTAAGATCATACCGATGTCGTTGTTTTCCGTTACTTTTTATTAATTTTATAAAATCCGTGGAATTTTGGGTTTTGGATGTTAAAATATATCCAAATCTCGTGAAATGGTCTACCAAGAGATGTAAGTATTTTTTGTGGATCGTGAGCCCCCGAAGCCGCCGATTGTGTCGATGAAAACTATTCAAACGGTTCTTTTGCGGGACCTAATTGAGACATTAGGCCAATTTTCTTCTGTCCTCTTGATTTATTTTTTATGCAGATCTCACAGGCTCTACAAATCTTTTATATTCTTTGTTAAATTTTGTGCTGTGTAATAATTTCTGATTTTGTTTTGTGTTTGTTTTATACCTATATGGCAGAAATTCTGATGTGTTCTTCTTATTACTTCTTTACTGAATTTTTCTGATAGTATAATTTTTTCTTTTTCTTTGATCTTCTTATAGTATATTTTATTTATAGTATATTATAGTTTTAGTCTATTTTTGTCAGTCTGTAAATCTTTGTTTTGTTTTTGATCTTTCAGAATTTCTTCTAGGTTTATTAAATTCACGATTTTTAAGTCTTCCTCTTGATTCTCATGTGCCTCCAGCACAGGGTTTCTACTTAAACAGTCTGCCTCCAAGTTATTCTTACCCGGGTGGTATATTATTTCCATATCATATTGTGCTAAGTAATACGTTAGATCGCCTAATTCTTCGTCTGGTCTTGCTTTGATGTTAAGTTTTTCTAGTGGTTTATGATCTGAAAAGACTTTGAATGATCTGCCCATGAGCCAGTGTTGCCAGTATTTTACTGCTTCTTTTATTCCTAGGCATTCTAGGTATATAGCCTTCTTTTTTTTTTGGGCTTCGTTTAGCTTCTTCGAGAAATACGCCACCGGTTTTTCTATTTCTTTTCCTATTTCTTCATCCAGTTGTGGTTGTTTTAGTATAGCTCCTACACCTTTCAAGCATGCATCCGTGTAAATATGTATTGGTAGATCTGGATTGAAGATAGTTAAAACCGGTTGAGTGCAAAGAATGTTTTTTATTTTTTTAAAGGCTTCTTGGCAATCTTCCGACCAGACGAATCTTTGTCCTTTTCTTAATAGTTTGTGCAGTGGGTCCAGTATTATGGAATTATGTGGCACGTATTCATTGTAAAAGTTAATTTTTCCTAAGAACTGGCGAATGTGTTTTTGTGATTGTGGCACAGGAAAATTTTGTATTGATATTAGATTATCTTTTATTGGAGAGACTGAGTTATTTTTTATCTTGTGACCTAAGTACTTGACTGAATTTGATGCGAAAGTGCATTTAGAAAATTTCAATCTAAAGCCCTCCTTCATTATTGCGTCTAGCAATTGTGTTAAATGGTCAATATGTTCATCGAATGATTTTGAGAAAATCAAGATATCGTCTATGTAGTTTACTGTAAAGTTTGAGAGATTGTGTTTTCTCATTATGTTGTTCAGGATTCTTTGAAAAATAGCTGGCGACGTCTTTAGGCCAAATGGCAAGCAGGTCCACTGAAAGTGTCCTTCTTGGGTTATAAATCCTGTTTTTCTTCTATCTTCCACCCGTAGTGGGATTGACCAGAATGCCGAGTTTATGTCGAGTTTGGAAAAATATTTGCAGTTTCTTGTTTTTGTCACTAGGTCCTCAATCAATGGGAATGGTTGTGATTGAGGGATAATTATTTGTTCAGATCTCTAAAGTCGATGCATAATCTTGATCTTCTATCTTCGTCCTTTTTATATGCTAGCGTCACTGGGGCAGCAAAAGGACTGTATGATTCTTCTATCAAGTTTCTTTTTAACAGCTCCGCAATTTGTTGTTCTATTTCTTTCTTATCTTTGATTGTACATCTATATGGTCTCTTGCTGCAATACTTATCTATCATTAAATCTATTCTTGCTTCATAATCTTTTACTGTGCCAATGTCGTATTTGTCCTTGGCAAATAATGTTTTGTATTTTTCTATAAGATTTTCTATTTTTAATTTTTCGTAGTGATCTAGGTGGTTTATTGAGATTTGTAAATTATCTGTATCTACATGTTCATTAAAGTTTATTTGTTGTAGCTTGTCATTTTGAAATTTACAAGCTTCTTTATGGTTTCTATCCTCTTTCTTTGGATTTTTGTTTGTGGTATTAAGAGCATTTGTATTTCTTTTGTCTGTTTTTGCGAAGAAAGCTGTGACTGTGTTTGTATAAAGGTCTGTTCATGTCGTGTGTGATGTATGGAGCGAGTGTATGGTATGGAGTGATGAGATTTGAATATGCGAGGGAGCTCATAAATAGGTGCCAGCGAGTGGTTTGAGTGCGTGTCTGAATTGTATGTAGAAAGGCTCTCCACGCGGCCATGCAACCTTATGGGTGGCTTGCCGTGGGACCTGGAGTGCGTGAGAAGAGGAGTGTTGTATAAGGTGAGAAAGGGAATTAGTATGAGTGAGTATGATGTAGTGAATGATAGTGAATTGCGTGAGAGAGGTGTGGAAGGATGTATGGATTGGTGAGTGAAAAGCTGTATGAGATGTGGCAGAATAGATGGAATAAGTGCGAGAAAAGAAGAGTGACGTATGAATTATAAAGAATATAAGGTTCGCGGGTGAGTGCCGAGAGTTCGAGCCTAGCTTGAGCCTGGCTATATCCTGACAGGGCATGGAAGTTTGAATGAATTCCTGTATAAGCGTGGGTCTGTCTGAGAGTGAGAGCTGTGCATGCGGAGCGGAGAGAGAGAATTAAAAGCATGTGTTGGTTGAGTGTCCAATGTATGGTGATGTGAGGAACCTGAGTGAGTGGGGTGTTTGTGCGAGAGAATGGCAGTGTGGATGTGAGTCGCATGTGAATGTAAGGAAAGGTATGAAAGTGTTGGTGTGTATGCGAAGATTGTATTTCAGAGAAGGAGGGCGATGCTGAAAGGAGGATAAGAGAAGCCGAGGTTCCCGAGGAACATAGGCCGACCATGCCTGGAGGTGTAGGCCTCCGAAAATCTGGGAGTGGTCTCGGCCACGAAGATCCAACCAGTGATCTTGACTGGTACCACGGGAGTCGGGTTGCCCAGGGGATTCGTCCCTCGTCCCGGCAATT